GACAAATCACTTTTAAATATTCGGTAAATTAGATGCCTTGAAGTTAAAATTTATTTTGCTATTGGTCCGAGAGAGACCTTTTTTCTTCCAATTGAAACATACAATTCAAACGGTTTTTTACTTGGTTAAACAATTTTGTGTTTGTAGTCGACCAAGTGAGTAATGATATAAGACATCTATCTTTGGTCATTTTGCACCATCTTGGATCTGTGCGAACTGAGTCATTTAAATCTAAAATGTTGTGTCAAACATTTTCGTCGCGTCGGTTTAACACGTTGATCTTAACGTGTCAAACCGACACGTTAGCTTAAGATTAGACTTAGGTATTTTCAACATCGAAAAAAAAATCAAATAAAAAAAAAAAAATTGGTATACAATTAAACTATACAGTGTTCCCTCATTCCTGGAATTGTACTACTGTCTTGGAAAGTCCTAGAATGTTTTTTTTTTTTTTAAAAAAAATTGAAAAAATTATGGAATTTTTAAAATAATCTTCAGAAAAATTTGTATTAAGTATGACTTTTCATGCGTTAATAAAGTTTTATTCAATATCTTTTCATTTGCAAAATTCAAATAAAAAAATGTTTAGACTTTTAAGAAATTGATTTTTTAAAATCTTATTTAAAATTTCTTTTTTTATGAAACACCATTGGCAGGCAGGAAGTTTTGGCTAATATCCTGGAAAGAAATCCTCGAAAGTTCTTGTTTTCATATTTTTTCTATGGAAACCCTGATATAGCTTTTAGTTGGTACTAGTTTTCTTTCATGTCCTACTTTATAATCACAACTTGTCGTGGTAATTTTTTAAAAATCCTTTAGTCATTAAATTTAGTACATTTAATTATAATATTTGTTGTACTTCAGTTAAAATGATTTTATTTACAATTTTTGGTAATAAAGGAAATTAATAAATTAAATTTTAAAAACAAAATAACAAATGAAGAAATTATAACTCTAATGAAGAAAACGAAAGACCACTGTCTATACCAGTTATCATAAAGTTAGATTATAAATAAACATTATAAATTAATAACCTATAACCACAGAATTAAGTTTTCCTTCAATCAAATAAAAGATTTAGAGTCAACCCTTAAATTATTTTGATTTGTACATATTGCTTTTACAAACTACTATTTTTGATTTTTCATACGTACGTATAATTAAAACATTTAAAATGTACTTTAGAGTAGACCGGTGCACGTTGGCCTGCTTTTTTCTCTTTGACGTGTAACTTTTTAGCTTTTCATTTTTTAATCAATTATTTGTAGAGAAAGGTTAACAAGACCCAAGACTACCAAAAACTAACATTATAAAAAATTCGTAATAGTTTGCAGTATATTTTAAATTGCTTTTGTAAGATCATGTTTGATGGGCCAGTCTCCCCGCTATCGGGGTAAGTTGGCTCATGGGTATAAAATGGGTCAAGCCTAATTTTTAAAATATTTTTTTTTTCGCACAACTATATATTTTATCTATATTAATAAAAAAAAAAATCGAACTAGAAATTTAAAGTGTGTCGGACCTTACATACTTTATAGTATAAAACCCTCTAAATAATACAAAAAACATAAAATTGATATTAAGTAAACAGCTCAAGTTTGATTTTTCTTTTCAAAACATTTCAGATTACAAAATATTATTATTAGAAATGCACAAAAACCATTTAACAAAAAGTGTTTTTGTCGAAGATCGGTTTTTATATATGGCCAACGTGACTCTTTTATATACTAAAATATTCCTTAAGTTATAAGCTTAAAATTTAGCATTAAGATAGTTCAGTACTGTCAAACAACAGGCATATTAACGGCAAACAAACGTTAAAAATGTTTCACGCTTTCAAAATTCCAAAAATGATCCAATAAGTATGAATTTATTCGGAAAGAGGGTTGAATACTTGTTTGGACCAACATAACCCTTTGGCCAACCTGCCCCGGTCTACCATATTTTACATACTTACATATAATTAAACCTTATTTTTCAACATACAGATGTCTTTTTAAAACGACTTTTTAAATCGATTGCCGTTGGATTATTTCAATGTTTTTGCGAACACTCGTTTTAAAATTTCATTAATTATGATCCGTCCAAGTTTATGTTTCATAGTAAATTATATGTAAAAAAAATAAAATTAAAATAAGATAGAATCCAGAAGACTTGGAACTTTCAAATTTTGCACATAGGGGTCATCCATAAAGTACGTCACGCTTCTAGGGTGAGGGGGGGGGAGGAGACATTTGTGACACTTTGTGACGTGGGGGAGGGAGTGGGTTACGATAAGTGTGATATCACAAAAAAAATTTTGACAGCTGTCAGCTGTCAAAATTTGGACAACCCTGACACCAAAAAAAATTTTAGCAGCTTTATTACTACCTATTTAGTGATTAAAATAAGGAAGTATTTTTGTAACACTTCTTATATTTATGTGTTTTGCCGTATTTTTGAATACATAACAGATGTTAACAAGTGTGCTATTTTGAATGTATGTTGTAGAAGGCTTTCCAAGCATCATTATCAATCAAGAGTTAAGGGTTTTTGTTGGTTTTTTAAGTTTCTTGCAGTAGTTGTACTTTTAAAGAACATTTTTCAAAACAAAAACAATTCTATTATAAATGATAAAATATACTTATTTTTGCTTTACAAAGAGATTAGCAAATATTGAGAATCAATGTAAACATCTATAATGAACATGCCACAATCTTTTTTCTAGCAATACTTATAAATTAATTGCCTTGTAAAGTAAAAGAAATGCTGCCATGGAAGTTATAAGAATAAAGAAAATTATTTAGATTATTAAATTGATTGTGGTATATCTATGATTGTTGTACCTAATACTGTGATTCTCAAAAGTGCGTAAAAGTATGCCAAATATGTCCCGTCTGGATTTCAACTATAGCCAGACAGGAAAATGTCTTTTTTAATCATTTAACTTAAAGTGTTACAACATGTTGTAACATTTTAAGTTAAATGATTGACAACAAATCAGTGATTTTACTGCGTATGTACTTTATAGATGCCCCTTTGGTTGGAAAAAAAATTCTAAAACCTTTTATTTTCTAAACAATATTGTAATGTTTACTTTACAAATATCTGATGAGAACTTTAATTTATTAATAGTTATTATTAATTTCGACAATATGTTCTTAAATTTTTTTATTTTTATAAAAGTTAAAAAACTTTTTAAAGTTAAAATTTTGCTATTTTGCGCGGTGATTTTTATAGAGCTTAAATCACTTCAGAACTTTTGGTTTAAATTGAATTAATAACTCTGCGGAAATTTTGATATTTTCCGAATTTTTTAAGCTAAATTTAGAGTAGTGTAAGTGATAGACGAACCTAATTAGGTATAACTAAGCGGTATTCCTGCATTTCCTTTTAGCGAAACTTAGCAAGTACTTTTAATATTCATGATATTGTATACCGAAACACAAAACAAGGGCGGATCTATTTAATTGTGTGTGTGTGGGGAGGGGGGGGGAAGAGGGATCGCAAGGGTTAGGGCTAGAAATCAAAAACATTTTAAAATCGCCCCCTTACTAAATGGTCCGGATTCCCCGTTAACACAAAAAGAATTGTAATTTAAGCGTATAAAAAGTCAACACTATCAAATTTAAAGAAATATATAATATAATGTATGTTTATTTATATAGTATAATATATATATATATATATATATATATATATATATATATATATATATATATATATATATATATATATATATATATATATATATATATATATATATATTTAACTATAATGTATATAATATAATCTATGTTTCTTTATACATATTATATTATTTATAACATATATTTTCTTAACTATAATATATATAATATAACCTTAGTTATCAAACACAAATAATTAACAATAACACAAAAACCTTTAACAATTAAAAATTAAATTATATCAAAATTAAAAATATCAGATATAACTTTATAATACTAAACCGACAAGTTTATGTCCCAATTCATTATTTTTATGAGTTAAGAGCGTTTAAAAATTAAGCAAATATAAAATACGGAATGCGAAAATTTCAAATGAGGTTCAAATACTAAAACGAACTCAAATAATCAAGACAAAGAAGAGGATTTGAACAAAATTAAAATACATTTATAAAATAAAAAAATTTAAAAATTGTTACTTAATTGAAGGAAGTTCGCCTAAACATAATCGTGATCCATACAAACTTCATTGGATGTTATTACAACTTGTTCTGGAATAAATAAATAAATAATCCAATATCAAATCTAACAAAAGCATTAATAATATAAAATCTTTTTTTTTAAATTTTCTTATTGTTTCATTTATGGTTTTAATGCCCTCGTCAGGGGCGGATGGAAGATATTTTATGGGTGTTGCCTTGGCTTCTTAAGTTCATAAATTAGAAACTAGACATTACTTGTGTAACTGATTTAACGAAGTGCACCTAAGAGAAGGTAAGCCATAGGACTTTGCATTCAACCTGCAAATTATCATGTGGCCTAATGTCATGTGGGTTAAAATATCAAGTGGCCTAATATCATGTGGGTTATTTCAGCTTTATTTATAGCGTTTCGAAGCACTACCGAGGAGAGCTAGTTTCTCAAAACATGATAAAAAGCAGAATGTTTTTTTTTAAAGGCAATACATATTTTTTCAAGAACTTACATATAAATATTAGTATACTATAAATTACAATATAGTAATTTTCATATAATGAAAGGGTTTATTTATAAATTGTTGAAATATTATGGGTGAAACATGGGCATCATAGGATAGCCCCCAGATCCCTGAGCATTAAAAGACACTAATTTAAAAATATAGTCTAAAAAAGAAGAAAACAGACTCTTGCCTTATTTGGCTAAGCACAACACAAAATGTATTCAAATGCTGTAATGATATATAATAAAGATGGCATACTATAGGCTTTAACTATACTTGTTGTGTCCATTGTTTACAATTACCCTGAAGATTATTACAAAGGTGACATGAAAAAGCTTCAGTTACAGCTAGAGTGAAAGTTCTTGTATATTGGAGAAAATCGGATAATTAGAATGCTATCTATGCAGGCATGGATGCAATGAACACGGATGCTAAAACATGATTAAAAATAAGATGAAGATAATAAATGCATCATTTATAAACATAAAACAGCTAATTATTAATTGTAATTGTAATGGTAATCCTTTGATTTATTACCATAAAGTATTAATAAATCTAATATCACATTAGCATACAGACAATAACAAATAAACAAATAGTTCATTAAAAGAAAAGAAAAAAAATACTAACCTGCATCAGAACAAAAAGCAGACTGAACATCTGACAAATTTAATTCGTTTACGTTTGAGTTTGATATTCTCACTGGTTGAAATTTCCCATTGATGATGGATATCTTAAAACCTGTCCATCAGGTAAGCCATGAGCACTAATAATAGTGGGAACATATTTCTTGTATGGAATATGACATTTTCGAAATCTTTGTTGCAAGTGTTTTGGCAAAGCAAGTCGACTAATTTCTAATAATATTTATTAGATTAATTAAGAAATAGGAAAAAATTAAAAAACAAGCATTACAAATGTAAAGTTATACCATATTCAAAATATCTGCAACTTTAGTACATAATTTATTTTTTTCAACCATTTCCTTATTGACTATTGGAGCTAAAATTAAAAATGAAGCTTTTAACTTTATGTTAAATTATTGTGAACATATACTAGTACCTTAATAATTTAAATACCTTTCAAAAATTCAGCAAATTTAAACTGAAAGTTTAATTCTTCAGAATTTAGTAAAAATTGGCACCCTCTTTCGGTTGCAGTTACAACAGGAGCACCACCATGAGCAAGACAAGTAACCGCAACAACGTCATTGCCCATATTTGCTAACTCTTCCACCTAAATAAAAAATATATAAACAAGTTATATAAAGGGTGCGAAACTTTTAGAAACTATTATTTATAATAATTTATGGTAATTAATTATAATTAAAATAAACATACAACTTTTTTCAACTGTTTTAACAACTTTTTAGATTTAATTTCTTTTTCTTCTTTAGTGAGAGGAAGTAATTTGTTTCTTTGTAATAAAGCTTTCTTGTTCCAGCTTTCTTTTTCATTGTTTGTTAACAACGACCAGTTATGACCAAGATTTTTGAAACAAAAATTTCTGTTATCAAAATCTGAATCTAGTTTAATAAACAATTATTGATAGAGTATATATTAATATAGGTAAAAACAATTGTAAAAACAATTATCAAAAAGTATACAATACATTCGTTACAAAAAATATTATTTTAAATAAAATAAACATTAAATTTTTTAAATTTAAAACAAGTTGAATATGTATAACAATGAAGTATAAAAACTAAATTTCCAAGATAATAACAAAAAAATAATTAAAAGACTTTTTGAAAAAACAAACTCACAAGCTATCCAATATCAAAAAGAAAAGTTGGTTTAAACAAATAAGTTTGACAAAAAAGAAGAGAAAGTTGATGAAGAATCCATATTGAGTAAACAAAAAGAATATAAAGATAATTATTATAATAATAGTAAAGATTAAATTTACTGCAAAAAATACCTTCCAATGACAATAACTGGTTTTGTTTCCATAAATCGTACCCCCTTAGCACCTGAGTATTTATAGACACTTTTTTTCTTTTTTGTTTAACACTAAAATCCACATCTGATTTTCGGCTTTTTGCTTTGTGCCTAGCAATCCAGCTCTAAAAAAATGTAATATGAGCTTAGATGATTAAAATCTATATTTAACAATTTAACAATTAATATTTTATTATAAATTTCATACTTGTCAAATTGTATATAAAATAAATAACTTGAAAAAATTAATTCCTGTAATTCTCATCATTTTAAAATCATTGTTTTTCGTTCATTGTTCACTATGTATGCTATACACAATTAGCAATACCTTTACATTCTACGTACTCAAACCACCTTAATCTTTTTTTGCTCATTCTAGACTTTACAAAGCATAAATTTTTTATAATTTAAGCTTTTCTTAATTTTTTTTGCTTCAATTACATTTTCATAACTTGGGAAAATAGAATTGAAAAATGAAATTGGAAAAATAGAAGTTGGGGAAAAGGTAGTTGGAAGAATGGAATTGAAGCAAAAAAAAAGTAAAGAAAAAATGAGGTAATAAAAAACTTACGTTTGTAAAGTCTAGAATGAGCAAACAAAAACAGCTTGTATTAATTGTTTAAAAAAGTAAAGCACTGTAAACACTGAACCCTGATGCACATCAAACTTTACTTTAAGGCTAGCACTCTTTGATTGCTCTTGCAGTATGCTCTTGCCTTCATATTTTAACATAAACTTTACCATTACTTGTATGTATTATAAATAAAATATAAATAGTTAATTTTAGAAATTAGTTTTAGAACGTAGACAAACAACTGTCAGTTTTAATGTTTTGTTGTTAAAAACACTAAAAACAAATAATGATTAAAATTGCATATAATATGAAATTGTAATTATAATTTTAAATAATAAATACATGAAAAAAATAATACTTAAACTGTCTTTATGGATAAATGAGTTTCACCAGCTACTTCTGTAATTAAAGATAAGCAGCGCTTACCACACCCATTCATACCTTCATTAAACTTTTTTACAAGAATGTGCTCCACAGATGCAATTTTCATATTTTCCATTTAATATCAAAAGTTGTGATAAAACAATAATATATAATTTTAAATGGTGTTTAATGAGTAAAAAATAAAATAAGTATTTTTTTTTCGAAATGAATATTATTTTTGAAACTTTCGGTCGGTGTTTTAAGAACCACCCTAATATATATATATATATATATATATATATATATATATATATATATATATATATATATATATATATATATATATATATATTAAAAGTGCATATATATATATATATATATATATATATATATATATATATATATATATATATATATATATATATATATATATATATATATATATATATATATATATTCCACTGATATAGCAACCTAAAAATTTTTTAAATTATAGGTTGCTAACTTTACCAGGAATAAAATATATTTTTATATCTGATAAATACAAGTATAAAGTTTAGATTATTAAAATAATGATTTATTTTTTATTTTGCTATCTTCAAAACAATAGTTTTAACTAATACTACGCAATAACTACGGTATTAAAAGGGAACTTTTTATTACCACGACATTAAATATTGGCTTTTTTTATATATAAATATATAATTATTATTTAGCAAGCATATATATTACAGTGTCCTAGAAAAAACTAACCTTTGATGAATGGCTCCCACCATCCTCCCTACCTCCTACCAACAAAATCTTTTTTTTTCCGGAATGATAAATACTAATTATCAATCATCTGAAATGATAAAAAGGGCACAAAGTAAAAGTATAAGTATATGAATCGGACTGGACATCCACTGCAACATAGAGCAATAGTTTGTTTACTTATGGCCACTTTTTGTACAATCGGTATTGGCAACAGCTTTTTTAATCAGTTTACCAATTTACCAACCGATGAAATGGCAATATTTTTACCCTGTATTTTGATAACAATTAAATGTAAAATTAACTAAATTTTATATATCTCTTAGGAGTTTTTTGGGTAAACATTATCTTCATTGTCATATTAGTTTCAGTGTATCTGTGCTTGCTTGGTTGGAGGTTTCTCATAATGCTATTTATTCAAATATCTATTATCTTATATATCTTTTTTCTGAGGTTTTTCCATATAATCTATAACATACTCTTAAAAAAAAAACATAATATCTGCAAGTTTTTCTAATTCTATTTTTTTTGACTAAACTGCTAACTCTACATGCTGATACCCAATTATTTGCATTACAATCATCTACATGTGTATAATAACAAAGTTTGCGACTAAACTTTATTCTCTTCATAACTAACATTAAAAAACGTAAACGCAATGCCTATAATAAAAGTCCTTTACGGTCATTAGCATGATGATTGTAATTATCTTCAATGCGTGATTGTATAATACGTAATCAAATATGGCGTATTATACAACATGCCTAAACCAGCTTCATCTACTCTGACACGTCTTAATATATATCATTAATATTTATTAACTCTTTCTTTTCAGTCATCTTTTATATCCAACTAATCATCTTCTTCGCTGTTCTTTCAAGACAATCAACCTTTATTGCCTATGTTATGCCTTATATTATGAGACTGTGTGCATGCAGTCTATAACTTTCTTTTACTCTAAAGACTGCATTTCTTGTCCTCTAATCTAGCATTTTTTCAGATTTTAGCTGATTATTTGATAGGTTTAAAAATTAAAGCAACTATCAGAAGATCAGGTGTCGTTCATATGGCCATTTTGTTGTTGTTGTAAATTTTACTTCTATTTTTCGACACTTGTGTGGTTTGGAGGGTTTTCATTATGAAATTAATGCCATTATGAGAGAGTTAAAGCAATGTTTTACAATCAGATGCCCTTTCTGATGTTAACAGGAAGCAGGTTGTACTGGATTTCATGTTACCAGTATCAGGATAACCTAACTTGACGTTTAAAGGATAACCTGACCTGACTTTTTACTTCATATTGATGGCAAAGGCCATATACACGATCAAGAGCTGTTATACAATGGCAATAAAAACATTCAGCGTTTAAATAGATTTTTAGCTGAGGTCTTCATTCAAGCATGGTTTTCATGCAAAACTACTCTGGATGCACCCAACAACGACATACAGTTGATCAAAAGACTAAAAAAACTATTATGAAGCAGTATAAGTATGATTGGTTTAAAACAATGGCTCTGCATTACTGGTAACTCAGTCAGGAAACGGCTAATGTTTAAATTTTTCATCACTTCTATCAAACAGAGAAAACAATAACAGCATTTTTACAAGTTATTGAGCAACACAGCAAAAAATTAGAAGCTTAAAAGCGAAGAACTGATGTTCATTTAAAAAAGAAATTAATTAAAACTTGCACTAGACTTGAGTGTCTTAAGTGCATTTTTTTTTACACAGTCTGCAGTTATTATTAAATTAAAAGCAAAAAGTATTTTTACTTTTTAGTAATTTCTTCGCAGAGAGGTCAATTTTCAGAGTCTCTGAGGGAGCCTAAAAATATTTCTTGTATTTATTTATAAATTTTTTGAGTATATTTTACAAATAGAGTGTTCAATATTTTTTAAGAACAAAGCAGTAATAAATGAATAAGAAAAATATTTTAGAATCAGTTTCATCGTTATACTTTTTAATCAAGTTCGCCTGAATATTAAATAAACATTACCTTGTTTAAATTGATAATAAAGCATTATATATTAGACATAAGTCTAAATAAAGTTAAAATAAATCAAATTTAAGAAAATGTTATATTTTTTTATATTACCATAATATATTATAATTAAAATAGTACATTATATTGCCGCAAAATATTGACCGCCATTATTTGTATTATTTTTTGGCATGAACTTATATTATGAACACATAATTCGATGACATCGAAAAATAATATCACATGTGTGGCGGTGTGGCAAATACACGGCTGATGAGATCGGAAAACACAGAGATATTTTATTTCGATGAGATCGACAAATTTTACTTAGGATCGGGTGGCTGATTCGACATTTTTATGCAAATTTGAGCCTATTTTCAAGGTGAATTAATTGAAAATTTCTTTTTTTGAGAAAATGCAAAAATGAAAGCATAAATAACTAATAAATCACAAAAACTTAAAATCCTTTTCAAATGGAAGAATCTTTTTCTTCAGCTGACTTTATTCAACTAACACTTTCTTGACTTGAGATTCAGCTAACACTTTCTTGACTTAAAATTCAACGAACACTTTCTTGCTCTTAAGTTTAAGAATGTTTCGGATTATACTATTTACAGTTTACTTAGTTGCTAAGGTTAATTACCTTGTTTGACAGTGTTTAGAAAACAAGGTATTTAATATTGAGTTTTAGTTTGCACAAAAAAAAATTAGCTATATCATGAGAAAGATAATTAAATTCTACATAAATTTGATCAAAATAATAAACTTTCTAACTGTTTTTTCTCTAGGAACCACATTAATAAATAATAGTAATTAGCTTTGCGTTAAAGCTCCTAAAACTAATACGCATTTGTTTGACCTACAATATGGCGTCGGAATAACACTGTTTATATCGTGACGTCAATTGATCACTATCCATACTTTTTCCTTAAATATACTAGTTTTCCAGATCCGGTCCTTCCAATTTACATATCGTCAGCCGAGAACCAAAAGGCCGTATGTCCACATTTTGTGTTTTTTTCTGTTTATTATCAATAAATATTCAACAACCAATGGGGTATGTGCTTTATAAATCTAGTCTCAAGAATTATACAACTTAATAAAACATTTAAAAAATTATTCAGACATTGTGGCAAAAAGTCTTCACAAATAAAATTTTAAAATGTGGTTTTCTCGGAAACACAAAAATTAGACATACGACCTCTTGGTTCTCGGCTGACGATATCTATTTCTAGCCGATATCTTTTTCAATATTTTTTAGTAAAACAATTTATTCTGAAAAAAGAAGAGCAAATGACTTAACATGGGCACCTTTTTCTCTTACGTAGAGCATATAAGAGGCTTATAATTATGTTTAAATGCACTTCATTGATAGCGCAGTGGTTTCATTAAAAGCGTCAGTGTTGTTTTAGAGGGTTTCAAACCTTCTCTTAACGTATTTAATTTTAAAATTTTTTCAATCTTGCTTATATATTCACAGCAAAAAATAAAAATCTAGAAAAAAAGATTGCTAAAATTTAAAATAAAATTTTCAAGTTTTCTCATTTTATAGATATACGCGATTATTCCATAAAATGCCTGCAAACTCAACATAAAGACGTTTATACTTACTTAAATTTGTACGTAACTCTATACAAATGAAATTTAGAAGATCTAAGAGCACTAAACCAAGGACATATAAAAAAAATTCCAATAATTAAGAACTAAAAGAATAATATTAAACGCTTAACTAAAAGTTAAGCCAAAATGATTTTGGGCTTTGACGTCAGTTTGCGGCAAAGTAAGCCTTTATGCGGTCAAGTTTCCTTTTGCATTTATCCTACATTTGTTTATTAATTTTTGTTATTTTATAGCGTACAATTGCATTAACATATATAAAACTGATACAGATATTTCATTTTCACGAATGTTAGACAGAATTTATTACAATAGTAATAAATAAATAGTTTTGGGGTCATCCATAAAGGACTTCATCATTTTTTAGCCAATTTTTTGACCCCCTTTCCCATTTTGTCACCGGTTGTTCTTTTTCCCTATACCCCTTTAAAAAGGACGTCATAAAATCTTGCCCCCTTCCCCCCAAATTAAACCCCCTAAAAAATTATTTGATCTCGCAATGATGTCAAAATCTGCTGCAACACCTTTGAAAAATAAAATTAAAAATATTCTCATACATTATTTTCTTAAAAACACATATTTACATAGTTTTTCATGTTAATTAAATTAAAATAATAAATCTATAAAGTGACGTCTTTTGACCAACTCTCTCCCTCCCCTTGTCTTTTTTATCTCGAACCCCTACCCTCTCTTTAGTTGGATTACGTCCCCAGTCAAGACACGATATCAATGTGATATCAGAATGATATCAAAACCTTCTCAAGCTATGATATCATATAGTGATATTGCTATGATATCATAGTGATATCATAACTTTGAGAAAAAAACTTAATTTATAGCAGAATTTCATATATTATTTATAAAGCACAGTAAAAGTTAAGTTTTTCTCTTTTAATGTCCAAATAGTAATTTTGATTTATAAACTCATATTATGATATCATAATATGAGTTTATAAATCAAAACTTACCATTTGGACATTAAAAGAGAAAAACTTAACTTTTACTGTGCTTTATAGGATTACTTTAAGCTTGTTTTGTTGTTGGCTTCAATTAAAAATAAAATAAAAAAATAAATTGCATTTAAAGTAATAAAATTGACGAGTAAATGATTTGTTTTTGATGACTTATTTTTATACAAATATGTTGCAGAATATATTGTCAATATATTCTGCAACATATTATAATATATAATAATGTATAACATTTAGAGTGTTTTTGAACAAGAATAGGTTGTGGCATATTATCAATATTATTAATAATATGCCACTACCTATTCTTATTCAAAAATACTCTAAATGTTCTAGAGGTATTTTTTTAGTCTTTATACGGCTTAGATTTTAGTATTTATTTAAAAAAGGACATCTGTATTTAAGAAAACGATTATAAATAACATTATTTTTGGTAATTGGAAAAAATCAAGCAGCATCACCTGTTTTCATTGACCTATATTTACAATTTATAATTAAATAACATATTTAAAATACTAATATGAATGTTAATTAAGTATATGTTAGTAGTAATAATAGTAGCTATTAATTCAAAACTGTTTTCGCTGTTACACCTTTAATTGAAACTGAATTCCATACATCTAAAGTTCTGTTAAAAAGGAAATGCTATTTTTTATTAAGAGGGAGCATTTCGTTTATAACATAATTGCCGCTTTAGAAGTCATCTTTAACTTAATTGCAGCTCTAAGAGTTCTAAAGCAATACCCTCTTAAATAGTTTTAAATAGTGGGAAAGGTTTTCCAATATTTATTTTGTCAATATCATGCATAAGTTTGTATAATTAGAATGAATTTCTCCCTTTTGTATTCTCAGAGTTAACGAGCCTATGTTAATCAATTTATTTAAATGTTTATTTGAACAAACTTTTTACAAAGCATTCATTACAATAATTAAATCAGTGAAATTTTTAAACATAAATCATTTAAGAAGTTCCAAAAGTATAAGGAAAGCACAAATCAATTAGCTATGCTTGTAGAAAGACTTTTAAATTAGCATAGTTAATAAATAACAGAGTTGTTAATCATTGGCCTTGGTCTTCGCCTTGGCCTGGCCTTAAGGCCAAAAGTTTAGGCCTTGGCCTTGAAAATTTTGGCCTTGGCCTTGATTGTTTTGGCCTCAACCTCGAAAAAAATACATATTTTTTTATTGATTTTGTTGAATTCTGCAAATAATCTTGGTCTATTTTTACTAAATTTTATTTTCACAGTACTTGCTACTTACAGTTTTGTGAAGAATTGGACTAAACGCATTGCAAAAATTAAAGTTTTCAAAATCTTAGTATATGTCTTGGCCGTGAAACTCTTAATCTTGGCCTTGACCTAAAAAATCTTGGCTTTATCCTTGACCTTGTAATTTTTGGCCTATGCCTTGTAACTTGTAGCTTTGGCCTTATTACTTTTGTTCATGTTAATATATCTGATAAATGCCCTTTGTATCTATGTTGTAAATATAGAAGTTAAAAATTCTGGTTGCTAAAATAACAGTTAATAGGACTTAAAAGAAGGAATTAATAGGACTAAAATCCATAATAATAGGACCTAAATCCTATAAAAAGGAGTTATAAGGACTGAAATCTACAAATGCAGCAGAAAGGATTTAAGAACTTACCACCAATACTAAAAGTTTTAATTATGAAATAAATAAAAATATTATGCTGATATTTAGAGAAGACCTAGTCAATGGACTGTTAAATGTTCAGTGTTCTAACAAGAGTAACTTACATTTTAATCTCTTTTGTATTGATCTTGCAGCACAAGTTGTGGTGCTATTGAAAATGTCTTAAAATTCAGATGTTACTATAAAGTTAGGTTTGTAAATCTCTCAAGATATTTCATTTGTTAGATTTATTTAAAATTTAGTTATTTGTATTGAATACTTTACTTTTGATATTTCTTTGCAATTATTTTATGTTTACTTAAATGTTATTTTTTTTTTCTTTAACTACATTTAGTTACATCATATTACTTCTTTATTGGTTTAATTATTGAGTATATGTATTTTAGAATAAAAGATTGTAATAAAAAAAATTAAAGATGGTATTTTAAGATCTAAGCAATACTATAGACTTCGTGAATTTAGTCTTTAACCATTGACAGACTGCCGATCCATAAGTCCATAAAAATGTTAATATGTTTCTCTGGCCAATCTAGTTTCACATTGACAATGTTTGTGAAACCAATTTTATTTGTCGTGATGTTGTTTTGTAGATTACAGAAGTCAGCTAGTTTAAAAAACTTGAAAGATTTTACAGCGACATCTTAGGGGGGGCATACATAAAGTATGTATGCAGTAAAACCAATGAATAAGGAACCCCATCCCATGGTACACACTTGCAAGGTATTTATGCCCCCCTTCTCCTCCAACTGCATTTGTATCTATTATTACAAAATCAACTTCTTTCCCCAAACCTTTTTCCGACGCATAATTTTTTTAAAGCATTAAAAACAAAAATATTTTAGTTATTTTGACATCAATCATAACAGAATTATTAATTTTGTTACTTAACAGAATGAAAATTTTTTAAACTCAAGAAACTATATACTTCTGTTAATAAAAAAATAAATCAAGTTTTCAAATAGATAGAGAATGAAAGTTAGTCACACCACATACATACTTGGTGTATTTAACCCCTCACTCTCTCTCCCTCTCTCTCTCTCTTGTACTCATTCATAAGTTTTTGGATAAATTCCTCCCT